AAAACATTGAACAAAGTTTTCAGCAGATCTGAGAAACATCTGGACACACCAAGAGGAGTAAAACAGTCATTCGTAAGACATCTGCAGGCTTGTACTCAGATGCTAGAATATAATTTCGAACATCCCTTGTGAAAGTGAATGGTTAGAGTTTGTTGAAAATCAAATCCGCTATAACTCGAAAACAAAATCAAATAGGATATATGTTTATAGAAACTTCTTTTATTCTGTGACACCCTGTATGTGACAGCATATTTTTGTTATTTTATGAACATTAAATTCATTCTAATATGAATTGCGTTACAATACATTTTCAATCGAGTCTGGGAAATGATGAGATGACGAGTCTATGCATTGTTAGATGAAATATCATAGAATAATTTTACTTCCCAAAATAATGATCTATTCGTTAAATTTTCTTTCGTTGAATTATGCTGCGTGCTGTGTACTTGTATGCATCTTTATTTACAGGAACCCTCCGTTGCAAATTTTTCAAGTAATTGAAATATTATAATTTTATTAGTTACACTTCAGTTATCTATTAATTTCTGTGGTATGAAATGAATATAAAATTCTAATAATTAAGAGTAAATAATTCAGATAAATTTCAGTATAATATGTATAAATGACAAACTACATAAATATAACAAATACTAGCATTAACATTAAAGCAGTATGTATATGGCAACCATGTTGTATTTCCAAGTACATCTCCCCAATTTATTATACAGGATGATCCACCTAAGATCGAACACCTAAATATCTTCTTTATTTTCAATGATATGAGCAATGCTTCAAACAAAGTTTGAATGGTTTCAGAAGGAGAGTACCGTGCATAAAGCATTTTTTTATGATCATTTTTTCGAATTTTGTTTAGATCGACGGTATTTTTTTGCCAGAGAGCATGTACTTCTTTTTATTGCATCATATGGCATGTGTTAAGGAGCATTCAAATATATCTATCTTTTGACCTTGAGGTGAACTTGAAAATTGAAAATAACGAAATGGACAGTGAAAAAAATAAAACATTTATCGACAGCAATCCACTACTCCGAAAGACGTGAAGAATCGAATAATTACAACTTCTGCGACTATCACGTCAGAAATAACAGAAACAGCTTCACAATCCGTGATTTTTCATTTTAGACGTTTATTAGGCGTTTATCGCCACTGATGGACATTACTTTGAACACCTATAACATAGAAAGTGCATTCACATACCATCCTAACAGTATTTTAGAATTTCATTGTTTTTTCAGAATTCAAGTTCACCTCACGGTCATAAGACATATTTGAATGCACCTTAATGCGTGCTATATGTTGCAATAAAGAAGTACATGCTGTTTGGCAAAAAATACCAACAACCTAAAAAAATGTGAAAAAACAAAAACAATCATAACAAATTGTTTTATGTGCGATACTGTACTTCTGAAGCCATTTAAACTGTGTTTGAACATTTCTCATATCATTCAAAATGGTGAAGATATTTAGGTGTTTGGTCTTAGGTGGGATCAAACAGAAATTAAATAATTAACAGTGTCGGTACATGGATCAGCGCAGTTAGCATTATTACCTTTGGAATGAAACATTAAAAAAACTGGTTAACTTGTACAGTGCATATATTATTGAAACGCATTAAAAATTTGAAATACAATTGTATGTGAATGGAGAAAGACGGAATAAGAGAACTGACAATATTTGAAGCAAACATTAACGAAATACTACATGTGGTTTTATATTTACCGCATGCATAATAGTCTAATGTTCACTGAGATGTGAAAATTATATAAAATTACTTAATTAAAACATTTTTAGTTTTCTGGACGAAAGATATAATAAGAGACAGTTGCCACAAAATTTTTGAATAGTCGAACGTTTGTTGCAACAATGTTCCTAATTTGTTTAATGAATAATGTAAGATATTCATTTGTATGTTAATACCTTGCTTAAATAATTTTACCGTGTAAAATCTCATTTTGTTTTTCTGCAATTACCGAACAAATTTTTCACGTATGATGTGAGAATTGCTTGTAAAACAGACGTTTATTTCGTGTAATGAAATATTTTGTGATAGAGGTAGTACAACAATAGAGGATGTGATTTGACGTGTAACAAATCGAAAGGGTACAATTACATTTTTTTCGATCGAGGGCTCGTGTTCGAGAAAATCATATTTCCGTGACATAGTAACTCTTCCAATTAAATTAATCGTTTGAAAATTTCATCTAAAAATAGAAAGTGCAACGATATATCACTTATAGTATGTTTCCGCGTTAATATATTGACTTGTGCGTTTAACACAAATTTATTCTAATACAATTGTACATTTCACAATAGGCATAATTATGTTAAAATTACGGTGAAAAGAATCAATTATTTTGTTTTTGCGTGTACAAATAAATGTGAATGTCATTTTATTGTAAATAAAATGTATATCCAGACTGTTTACAAAGTTAATAAATCGATAACGCTCAGAAAAAAAATGACAGAAAGAGATAATTAATAGGGGTTTGACGAGTAGTCGTTACAAATTTGTAATTATGTTTACGCAATAAATATTCCCCGTATTATAAATTTCTGTTTCTTTTTGTACAGGCCATTATCTATTCACATTTGTATAGAACTTTCCACCGTATAGTTATACATGGTCACATTGCAGGTAAGCACGATCGTGTATTGTCATTTACCGAGTTAGGTTTTACATCAGTATCAATGCATCGTGTAATCTATTTTCTCGTTGTAATATCAAAATCAAATAGTATTATACATTGAAATTTATCAACAAACACTGACAGCAATGAGTAGCGTAACGTACGAGTCCTCCGCAAAAGGATAAATTTGAAAATGAAAAATATTAACTACGAGATATAAACTGTGATACACAAGTCATGCACGTAATAAAGTAAAACGCGAATTTTTTTATCGTGTCAGGCATGGTCGTGAAATTTCTGACAATCGTCGATTTATTTGAATAGTGATGAACCGTTATTGTTATCACTGAACGACTACAATAAATCGCTAATAAAATATGATTTACTTACCTGTAGTTAGAATTCCGTGCAAAAATCCAATCGCCCTTCTTCTTTTACCGAAACAACGAGAAGTGCCTGTCCTCCGACTATAACATACCTACGACGTCTTTAATTATCTAAATACTATTAACCTCTGTCTACTTCAAAGGAATAAAATCGTGGACCTTTCACGATTGTAAAAGTCGAAAAAAATAAAATTGAACAATGGAAGGCGATCAGAAGAAATAATCCAGAGACTTGCATCTTTGTACGTCGGTTTATTAACATAGCAGTACTTTGACACTGGTTATTTTAAGAAAGATAATGTCTAGCCTCTTCGTTATTTCTTATCTGTTCTCTCCCGCTCTTATCCTTCCATGTTTTTTTTCTGTTTGTTGAGGAGTCCTGGCAACTCGCCAAGTTGCTAGAATTAAGTTCGGAAGCTATGTTTCTGTACACTCAGTGTTGCCGCCGTCGAGAGCGGTTTCCACCTCGCGATCATTTCTCACTCTGTCTCTCTCTCTCCCACACACACACACACACACACACTGTTTCTTTCTCCCACTCACCCCCCCTCTCTCTCTCTCTCTCTCTCTCTCTCTCTCGCTTTCTTCGCTCGTTCCTCGCATGCTTTCTCACATCCTTATTCGCTTACTCCAACGTGCACTCACGCTTTCTTCTCTCCCTCGATCTCACAGCGTTCGATAAAAGTTCTTCCGGCTAGCAATCGCTCTCGTTTCCCGTCTCGCACTGTCATTCAAACGTACAATTCGCCACCGCGAATTTCACGCCAGCACGTTCTTTCTATCCGTTCCTCCAGGTTTCCTCTCGGGCCCGTCCTTCCTCCAAGAGCCATCGCCCCCGCCCCTGGACGCCCTTTCTCATTGCATTTTCGTTCGTGCCCCGTACCACTTCTACCAACGGCCACGAAAGCGTCCTAAACGTACGATGAAAGGTCCATTACAGAAACGCGACACGTTACAGTTATTATTGTCACTATGTGGCTATTGAACGCTCCCACGATCGCCTGAGATCGATTGCAGCCCCGGGATGCTGCTTTGATAATTATTGCCACCCAGCAGTTTTGTCTTCCGTTGACTCCTCTGGCCACGCTTTTATCCGTTCGTCCCGGGACGAAAGGATCTATCGAAGATCAGAGGTGTGTTGCACCGGTGAACCCCGCGAAAACGGATGTTCGACGATCAATCACAAGACGTTTGCTCGGACACGAATATGTTCGATACTCTTCACCCCGAACGCGCATTAGGTTGGCCTTCATGGTAAAACGTATCCGTTGTCCCGATTGTAACCGAACACCAGGTTTAACCAGTTCATCGTTCAGTGATATCGTGCAAATTCCCCGGGATCCTCTACTAAACCAGACCTTCCTCGGCGGAAGTTTCTCGCGCGTTTGGTATTTCCCGACGGACGAAGCCGAATCTGATGGTTATGCAGAAACTACTCCGGTCTCCGCACGGCAAAAGTAAGGTAATCTGTTCGAGCGTCGCCAACTTGTCATTGTTCGCACGCCTAGTCACTCGAGCCGAGTTTGTACTGTATTACCGTCGAAACGATTTGTCGTCGGAGGAAACGGTGACCGTGTTAAAACGTTTATAGTCAGGGCAGTCCGTTATTACAATAACTAGTACAGAATCAGTTCCTATCGGTTTGGCGTCGATTAACGATCTCACAAACTTGCCTTTTTACCGTTTACGTTATCATGGGATTTCCGAAGGTTCCGAGTCCCGTTATTGGCGCAGGTACCGGCCGTTGCGATTAGAGTACGAGCACCGATGACCTGGGTTTGCACGGCACCTGATCCCGTCGGTTGTTGTCTCATGTTACCAAGCTCGAATTCCGGACTCGAACGTTTCAGCGAAAAATATCGGATTACTTGAGCATCTTCCTGAAACACGCGTCCACCAGTCGCGTGTTGAACAACCGTCGAGATAACGTCGACGAAATTTCGACTGGTTTCTCGTGATCGTCGGCGTTCAGCCGTCTTTCTCTCTCGAATAAACGGTCGCATTCAGACTCTGGTCACCAGAGTTCAGTGGTCGGGGTGAGGGTATGAACTTCGATATTCTCGTGACGATGATACCTGCTGTCCCTGCGGCGTAGCGTGGCTCGTCGCGACAACACTACAGTTAGCGCAGCTGCGGCACCAAGGACTGCACCAGCCAGCACCAACATACCGGGATGAGCGCCGGCGGATAAAGCCTCGGATATTCTAGCGTCGGAATTAGTTGCTCGGCTATTCAATTCCTCCGCTATCGTGTTCGTATCAAGAGCGTTCCCGAGCACCAACTTCTCTTTCGTCAGATTGTTCAGTTTCTTTGGTCTGTGTGATTGTTCAGTCTTCTCATCCCCGTCTACTTCCTCGTCCTTCTGTGATGCGAGTCCCGATAGCATAAAGGAACCGATCTTGCTCGACGATACGGTAAGTTTGTTCGGTTTCCTGGTCTTTTGCCTCTTGCCATCCACGCGATTATTAAAAGTTCGCGAATGGAGACCGTCCTCCATCTCGTTAATTGGCGGTTTCTCCCCGTTCGTCTTCCGATACGACAGTCCGCCAACGTCTGTAAGTAAATTTTTTGTCTCTGTCGATATTTGATTGACTTTGATATTTTTCTTGATGAAACTTCGTCCTTTCGGTTCCCTCGCGATCGTCGTGACGTTTCTGAACGATGTCGGTGCTTCGTAGAACCGAGTATCGTTATTCACGACTGTGAGCAAGCCGCTGGAAGACGTGAACGCTGTTTTCGTTACGTTATTTGGCGTATTATCAGAAATGTTATAGAAACTATCGCCTGTATGATTTGAATCTGTATAGTGCTTTTTGATATTTATGAAGTTGTTGATTGATTTGATGTCGGTGGCGTCGGAAGACACATTTAACTCGTTAACGTAAGACATATGCTTCGCCGTGAACGGAATCGACGATGTAACCGAAGTGTTAGCTTCTGTACTTGGCACAACTGTGAGAAGAGGAGTCGGCGGTGACGGTAATTTGTAGAGAAACGATCCTGACCATTTCTGTGGAGTGGCGCATCGGCCTGGTTCGATGTCTTTATTCAGTTGTTTGTGTTGCAGCAGCCATTCCCCAAGCCAATAAAGGTCCTCCGTGCAATCCCAATTATTTCCGCTCAGCTCCAAAATTCGTAGCTGCGGCAGCATATAAGGCAGATCGAAACGGAGTTTGGCAATATTTGTCCCAGATAAGTTCAGTTCGACCAAGCTTTTACAGGCGGACAGCGTGGCATCATCTGCTAAAAGCTGCCTGGCCAGAACCGGACTCTTCGATACATCGAGAAACACGAGTCTTTCAGGAGTAGGTACTGGAAACGCCATGTCACTTTGTTCCTCTTGCTTTCGTTGAAGCGTGGTTAATCTCGACATACGAAGCTTCGCGAGATTACTTGGTCCACTTAGAGTATTTGCCGGTAATGTTTTAATGGGATTATCGGACAGATCAAGTTCTTCGAGAAGAGGTAATTGACTGAGCGCTCCTACCTCGATCTCGCTGATATCATTATCGTTCAACGTCAACGATTTCAGATTGTACAGCCCTTGAAGGTCGTTTAGCTTTAAAACCGTTATCGCGTTCCGCTGGAGCTTCAGATTCGTCAGGCTACTCGGCAGACTTCGAGGAACCCTGACGAGAACATTGCCGGATATATCTAATTCCTCGAGAACTTCTAAACGTCCAAGGGCATCGTCTTCGATATCTATCAGTCGATTCTCCGAGATGTCCAATATCCGTAAAAGTGGATAACTATCCAAGTCTCCGCTGCGGATGGTGGTCAATTTATTGCCAGCTAGTCGGAGTACTCGCACCGATCTCGTTAATGCGGCCGGAACTCTCGCCAAACCGGTCCGAGACGCGTCCACAGTTTCCAAACGTCTGCCGGTGCCCAGCAGCAGAGAGACATCTCTTTCTTTGAGGGGGTTCTCCGAGAGTTTTAGTACCGATAATCCCGGAAGCGGTTGCAAAGTTCCCGAAGCTGCCCGCGCCAGACCGTTCCTCGATACGTCGAGCTCCCTCAATCTGTTGAGATTTTCGAACCACCTCGTGCCCAGAACTTGCAGTTGATTGCCACTCAGATCCAACTTTTGCAACGAGTAGAGCGGCGTCAACGCGTTGTCCGGCAATTTAGCCAGCCTGTTGTCCGACAGATCGAGAAATTTCAGCCGCTGTAATCCCTGAAATGCGTCCTCGTGCACGACGAATATCGCGTTCCTACGGAAACTCAACCTCACCAATCCCGTAAGCGTCCTAAAAGCTCCGGCACTCAGATCTGTCAGAGAGTTGTCGGATAAGTCGAAACGCGTCAGCTCGCTCATATTCGTCATACCGCCAACCAGTACCCCGTTCAATTGCGCCAGATTGTTGCATGACAGGTTCAGTGATCTAACCCGCTCGAGACCTCGCCACGAAACGTTTAGAAACACCAACGAACAGTTCGTCATCGACAACTCGTCGAGATACGGTAAATTCGTCGAATTTTTCTCTGACACGGCGAACGTATCGTTTACATCGAACTCGTTCAACGTACTGATCACCCGGAAATCGTTCGTCGTATCGCTCACTTCCAGTTCATCCAGGAAACTGACCACCTCGTAATCCTCGGCTCCGTCCACCGCGAGACTTCGTGTCTTGACCGACAATTCCGATAATTCTGGTACGCGGCCACGACACTTCACATGTACAACAGCCGGCAAGTCCCGTTCGGCGGCACTTTGATGGCACTCGCATAGATCTGGACACGCGGAACCACTCGCCATCAAGGCGAGCAGAATCAACGGAAGCCACATCGCTTCCAGTACGATCCTCTCACATCTCGATCCACCGGTTAATCCTTAAATTACTCGTCGGTAGGAGAACGGAACGGAACGATATCATCGCAGGTGGGCATAAACGCGTCCGGTGATTCATCGACGGGAAACACGACGCGCGGCAGTACGCACACGTCCTGGTACCGATATTATGGATGCCGCCAAAACTAACGCGTATACACGAATGCTGGAGCGCGGGGTAAGACTATCAACCGCCGCGTCAGACGTGATGCCCATACGAAGGACTGACAAACACTGCGGCGCTCGACTCGTAGCTGTAGCCCGCCGCCCTCCGTGTCTCTCTCTTTCTCTCTCTCTCTCTCTTCGCAACCCCCAAAGCCGGCTATGTGCTGTCGCCCACAACCCTCCACCTTCCCACCGTGTCTTCTCTCGCTTCCTCGCGCCCAACCCCCTACCCCTCCATTCCTATGCAACCTCTATAGATGTACAGCCACCACCACACCACTACGTTCACCACCACCACCACCAGCCGTCGCTTTTGCTCTCGAACTCGATAAGGGGCGCGTGTGCGCTTGCGTCCCCGGACACAGAGCGTAGTAACGCGTAGAGCCGGTATCCTCCGATTTCACGAACTACTGCCACTGACGACTGACTGACTGACTGCATGGTTCACTGACTGCCTGATTCTACTCAGCTTTCTTAAACTCGATTCCGCGTGCACAGGGCTTCCCGGAGGCGCGAGGAAACCATCGGCGGTTCCTCGGAGATTCCGCCGTGAGGAAACGGAACGACTCCTTTCCGATGCCCCTATTTCCACTCGCGCCCTGGCGTAGTCTCTTCGCTAGATCCGGAAGGCAAATGCGGGCGATGTAGATAACGGCTCAAGTTATCATTGCCTTTTTTTGCGTACGTTGTTTTATCGGTTGAACGTTTTTTCTACCAATCAAATTAATTACCTGTCTCGCTGATATGTACCATTACAGAGTGAATCCTTGAGGAGTAATGATAATTATTAAACAAAACCTCGATTATGGATGTTTGACGTTTCGTGAATTGTTTATTGCGAACATCGAGTGGTCAGAGTTCCGTAACGATTTGTTCACGTAATAATCACGTAGTGTATCACTAATCCAACTGAAAGTTTGCTAGCTGCTTCGCTAACTTCCTGCCATTGGCTTTCTTCAATTCGATTCGCGTGCTGGGATTACAAAGGAGCTGAGGTGCAGTTCTCACGAAATAAGGCGAGAGGTCAGCCACTTTCTCGGCACGCACGCTTTTTATCTTGTTAAGCCGTTCCATTCGATGCGATTATTTCATATAAACCTTTCCGTAACACCTTATCAAACTTATTATATCATATTTCTGATTTTTCTCGTTATCATACCTTTATCTTCGAATCGTATTTTAATGCTACTGACGCCTTTCCAGTGCCTATTTATGATTTTCATGATTATTCATGCAAGGGAGGATCGAACATAAATGATACTTTTGTTTTCAATTTCATTCGACAAGGGTTTTATCACACTAATACATTTTTACTATTTCATATAATATCCATCACTACCTATGGATCTTTTCAGAAACCTTTGAAAATATTTTAGTATTCAGATTGGATAAGTATTAGTCAAGTTGAATACGAAAACGTTTATGCTATTTCATAATTAAAATTTTCTTAGGTCATTGTAATTAAAATGCTATTGTATTCTAAGCAATGTATCAGTCGGTTTAGTGCTCCAAATTAATTGTTTACATGTAACAATCGAATTTTATAATTGTTGTTATGGTATTGCGATAATTTTAACGGTAGTTCAAAATTGTACAGAATAGTATTGGTCCTTTCACATAAACATTTACTATCGGTACAATAATGTGGACTGATCTTTGCTGTCGTAGAACGAACGGTTTCGGTTATTAGTGGTCCGTCTCTCTATTGGTAATAAAGGAAGATATCAAACACCAAATTAAAAAAATTTATACATTTTGAACAACATATACACCATTTGAGTTTACTCAGAATTTGAAAAATTTGTCCCCCAGAATTGAACATGTTTTGATTCTTCAGCATCATTTGTAAACGTCAGATGCTATAACAAAAATTGGCCTATAAGAATTACTTTGCTTAACCAGACACAGCGTTGTACGAAAGTTCAGTTTATTATTTAAAAAATGGAAATTATATTTTTAACGTTGTAATTTGAATTCTTAGTAGACTGTATTACAAAGATTATAATCAAAAATAAATTAGTTGGCCTAATTAAGGAGATTTTCAAGTTAAAGATAAAGTAATTAGTGTGTTATCGAATTCTTCATTCTAAAGTGGTTTATACGTTAGACTACATCAGAAACATAAAATTGGCTGTTCAATTATAACTACTAACATTAACCCTTAACTACAGACCACTCGTTTCAGAGATGAATAATTTGACAATGATTAAATTTGTGACAGTTTTGATAACCAATTGAATGTCATTTTTCATTATCGTTTCGGAAATAATGTGCCATTTATTGTCAATTAAAGACACTGAAATTTCTAGAGATTCAAAAATTCTCCACATGATAGTGACAATGAAATAAAAATTCAAGTTCGTCTTTGAGATGAGTGGCCTGTAGTTAAGGGTTAAGAATCATTTCTAAAGAATTGTCTCAATGATATTGAAAAAACACTGTCGAAGAATCCCGAACAGCGCAACCGGGCTTCTCTAAATGAGTATGAGAAGATCCAAGCGGCGCGATAGCACTTCTTTTATTTTATGTCGATACATCCCAAGCGGTGCGATAGCGCTTCTATTATTTTATTATATTATATTCTATTATATTATTATGGTATTGTACCTATTGTAAAATGTATTATTTACATTAAAAGAAGGAGCTGTGTGATTTACTTGCGTCAGTAAATCTGAGCGCGCGAGTTTGACAGTCGATGACGCACCGTTAGTTGTCCACAATGCTCGAAATGTGCTGGGTTTTCTCGACATAAAATCTGAACAGCGCGATCGCGCTGCTTGGTACTCAAACGGTTAAAAGGATTCTTCTAGATAAAGAAACTTACTATATCACTTATTTATGGTGCAATTTCTAAACAATACCGAAAAGTTCTGTGCATTCTTGAATTAAAACAAAATAATACATTTTCAATACATTTATTATGGAGTCCACAAATTACCATCACGCTGGGAATAGGTCATTAGTAACGATGAAAATTATATTTTTCCGTAAATATTAATAAATATATTGAAAATGTATTATTTTCTTTTAATTCAAAACGGACAGAACTTACCCGTAGACATAATAATTACTGAATTTGAATTATTTCAGAAAACGGTACATCTGACTAAAGAAAGAAATTTTTATCTGTCTTCCAAAAATAACTTTAACTTTATTTTTGTTTGTGATTTTAGCATAAATAATAGCACATGCTTTATGAACAAATTCATTCTGGAATAGTTCAATAACTGAAATTAATACTATTCAAATTTTTCAATGTTCTCCATCAAGTTATTACTAAGTTAACAATTAATTGTATTTCGCATAAGTAGATAGACGTAGTCAGGATTGTATTTGGTTTCCGTAATCAAAACACAAGCCAATTCAATCTAATCTATACACTTAAGACTTCATTGTACCAGGTTGTGCCAATACACAACTATTTTTAATAGAATGCTTGAATAGACCACTCGAAATGAAAGGTCAAGGAACTTGTCTCTTAATTAATTTCACACATTCAGGCACGTATATTTCTTTCGTTTGCACTGGATTTGAACATACTATTCGTTTTTATTCAAATATACTTTCGATTATCATGAGACACTATACATTAGGTACTGCTTCTAAAGGAAGAATTAATAAAACATTTATTTAAAAAAAAATTCATTTGTATTGAGTTAATGCATAAGCAAAAATTTGTGAGTTGTCATCAAACTTTTCCTTTATGGTCATTTTAAGCCGTGAGGACACCAAATAATCCAGTAACAAAAAGAAAAGGAGTAACAATCGATTTGAAGAAGTTGGGATCCTTACGAGCGGTTTTAATGATGTCTTTATAATGATAAACTTGATTCAATTTTTGGTCACCAGTCAGTATGTGAAGAACGAACCGTACACAAATAATGGAAACTTTCAAATGCTTGGTAAACATGCGATAAATCTTGTCTTTCGGTAATCCCAACTTACTTTCCAACCATCTCATCGAAGATTTTGCTTAAAGTTTTATTGCTTCATGCACCTTTTCAATGTTTTCGATGATTGCTGTTCCCGGACGACCTGGACGATCATCGTCGTTAATGTCTTCCCAACCTGCCTAACATCGTTTAAACCAGCGGTAACCTTGAATATGAGATAAACAATTATCATCATACGCTTTTTGTAGCAATCGTTGCATTTTGTCATATGTTTCACCAAATTTAAAACAAAAGTTAATTTTGGCTTTTTATTGCAAGAGCCAAAAAAATACTGTTACTTTGAGTGCTATAGCTTGACTTCCAATGATCCAAGTGTCATAAAACCTTTCGACGATAACATTTCCGTATAGATGCCGCAGTAGCGGCAATATTTTCTATTTTTGAACATTTTGATTATTTTTTTAACAGACCGTTTATTAAAATAATCTTACGTATTATTTCTAAATGTCAAGTTAAATGAAACACCCTGTGCATGGTGTGCATTACGCAATTATATCTGGAACAATTTTCAAACTTTAGGGGTGAGCAAATCAAAAGTGCAAAAACCTTCGAATTTCGGAACAGTTCGGGAAGAATTCAACGAGGAACAATCGCTACCATCAAACTATTGAATGTACTTAAAACAAGTCTCGATATGTAGAAATACTAGGGATAGTGAACATGGCACTAAGTCCCTTATATGATGGACTTTACACTGTTTGACCCGGAATAAGATATGGACTTAATATCATTTTTGCAGCATTATATTAAAACTAAACGATTTGGAACTAAATAATGTTCCATCGGATGTTATTTACCATCGGAATAAGTCAAGACTTTTCTACGGAAAACATGTAAAAT